GGACGAGAATCGTTAATTTTCTTATTGATTTTTTAACTCAAATTTTATAAGATAATGATCATTAAAATAATGGTCTTGGAAAGTGGATATATGTTAAGAAAAACGTTTACTTCTCTCAGTTGAATTCAAGAAAGTGTTATTGTGTGCTCGGAACAGGAATATTACCACTAGACTAACAAGTCATTCATAGCCATTAGTTTTATGACTTTATATTTAAACATTTCGCGAGTCAATACATAGTATAGTTTGTTAAATGAAGACAAGAATTTCATTCGGAAACTTAATTTTTTTCCATGGTACGATTTCGGATGTAATTGCAACGATATCTTATGGAATATATGTGTAGGATGGTTTTATAGAAGGAAATTTATATTCCAACAAATTCGCTTTCAGTTGAACACTATGGTATGTCTGAGGTTCAAAACTTGGATCTCTTGAATCTTTAACAGATACAACTGTAATGATATATTATGGAATATGTGTGTACGACAAACACATGACGAGAGCAGTAGGCCAATGATGTATGTTTTGAATATGCGAACTACAGATTTGGTAAATGGTGAGATGAAGTGCCGGTTTCACTATGAAAATCGAGGGCATGTCAGGGGCTCGTCTCGGGATGTACCCGAATCGGGAATCGTACCACTAGAACAAAAAGAAGTATTTGCACTTTTTCAGGAGTTCGAAACCGTGACTTCTTGGAATCGAAATGGAAATTGTGCCATTAGACAAATAAGCTAATTTTATAATTGTGGCCGCCTCTTCTGGTACTTTTCATTCCAACAACTCGCTTTGAAAAATACCACAGAACCTCTATAATCATTACGTACAACTTAGCACTTTCAGATATAAAACAAATATTAAAGAGATAAAACAAAACCTTTAAAACATATTCTAGAATACGCCAGGTGTTTGCATCTTCTCCTCGATTTCTTATCGACGTTGTTCCAATTTCGGAGATATGCTTACTCATCTAAATTTTAATATCAACATACGTGGTAGTGAACATTATAATAGTAGATGGTGTGTTACTAATAAATATGTATTACACCAATACTTTTACTGACAAGTTTAAATCACATTGATTAATTAAAATCAATAAATTTACTACATGTTCAGTGTGCCGTCTGCAACAAAAAATTATTCCGACGACACCGGGGACGAATTGAAAACGAGGTTATTACAGCATCGATCTAACATTCTATAACATAAACAATGTGTGCATGTACCATTCAATTTCAATAGCTCTCATTACAAGATTAGTGACTTTATAATCATCGGCATTGATTTGGGGTTCAATAACAGTAATGTAGTAAATTTATAGAAGCTTTTTGGCTCGGAACGTCGTCCACTCCACCCAAACGATTTAAATAGATGAACATTATTGCTTAGAGATCTAATCCATTCTTACCTGTATCCCACTGCATATCAATTAATTACTTCTAGAGCATGTGCTCATTTCAGCTGCATCTCATTTACATACGTGTTGATCATTTTTATGTGACACATTATGATTCACTGACAGACCATCTTTCACAGCATTAACATCGCAGGTGAGTATTTATTATCACTTCATTATAGTGGGAGTTTTAAAGCCATTTGTTTTGGAAATTTATACAGCAATAATTTGAAATAGTTTAATGAAAAGGTAAAGTACTACTCCTAGTTAAAAACCAAAGGCTTGTCCGTTCGAACTTCAACTTCAGGAAGTCGAAATCGAGACTAATAAGTCTTTGATTTTGATACAATTCTAATCACTTATTCTATGAATTTACATAGCAGCAATTACTTTCAGAGGAGCAAATATGTTTTACTGGAGTTGGAAACCTGTGCAACATATGTTACTTTATATTGCAACAATCTGCAAGTTTATACAGATTAACATAATTGTTAAATGATAAGATGAAGTACCATTCCAGTTAAAAACTAAGGGCTTGTCCGGGGTTCGAAACCGGGACCTCCTGTACCCGAAACAGGAATCGTACCACTAGATCAACAAGCCAAAGACGCATTAACAGAATTCTCAAACTCGAGTTTCAGAAATTGAATTAGAAATAAATTGTACCACAAGACCTAATACATTGTATATGTTTTCTAAATAACATAACATGTGGGTTGCCCGCGGTTCCTAATCTCAACTTCTGGAAGTCGAAATCGAGATTAATAAGTCTTTGATACAGTTGTGATCAATTATTATATGAATTTACATAGCATCAATTACTTTCAGAGAGCGAATATGTTTTACTGGAGTTGGAAACCTGTGCAACATATGTTACTTTATATTGCAACAAACTGCAAGTTTATACAAATTACATAATT